GTTTGAGGGTCTGTGGGCTGTGCTCCTGCTGAACCTGGCAAATAAATGTCACTCTGCCAAAGCCTCTGGCCACCCTCTCGCCTTTGCTTCCTCTATATTACTGGGGAAGGGCCCCTGGAAGGCAATGGGGAGGGGAGAGGCCGGGAGTTAGGTTCACAGGTAGTGAGTGGTCTGTGCTCAGTGCCATGCGGATTGCTTGGGCTGAGAGTACAGTTCATCCCTGCCACAGGGTGTTCCTTGATGGTGTGGCAAGGTCCTCTGGACTCCAGAAATCCATGTGGGTGGTGGGTACTGTGCTGGGCGTGTGCCAAGGAATAACCTCTGGTCTATGTTCTGACAAGTCCTGTTGAACAAGGAGCCTTTATCTTAACTTAGGCGTAGACCTGGAACCCGCCAAGTGTCATCCACCATAGGGAGAGACCTTTGGGCTTCCCTGGGTTGGGGAGTGGATGCAGGGTGGGCATTACACAAAGATTCTAGCCTGCCCTTTGTGTTGATTCCTCTTTCCTGTAAGCAACACCTTTGCTTTCCACATAGGCCCCAAGGACTTCACTCTGGGTCTACTTCAGGTGGAACAGATCAGCTTTATATTATGGGGCTCTGTACAAGGTTATTTTCTGGGGAGACGGGAGTAACACTGCTAAAAATAATTAATCATGAAAACTCCTAGGAATACTTGTTCCAGCCCAGATCAGCCCAGGTGAACTCACCAGGTATGCTGCTCTTTCTCAGAGAGGACCCCAAAGATAACTTCTCTGATGTGAGAATAAGAAAAAGGTCTGTTAGCCACTCATCTATGAAGCATCTGGGCCTCCAAAATTCCAACCCTAGTGCAGTCCCGAGGAAAAACTTGATCCTCCTGAGAGCTAGGAACTAAAGTCAGGATACTGACCCTGCCACCTCTAAACTTAGGGATCATCAAGCTTTGCTTGTATAGAGCCAGGGTGAGCTTGAGGTGTCTGGACCTGTGTCCATCTTTCTAGGACCACTCAGAGCGGAAGGCTGAGAGGGTGGTGCGTTCTTTTGGTCTGGGAACTATGGGCTTCCACCATATGGTCGAGCACTGTCCAGAGGCCAGGGGACCCGCTCTCCATCGGGACCGTCGTCCCATTCCCCTACGGACGCGGTCTTCTCGACTCCCCCGAAGTGCAGAGGAGGCTACGCCGAGGGAACAAGGCTGAGAAGCCCGTGCCCAGCGCACCTGGCACCAGCTCTGGCTTGGGACCATAACTCTCAGTCTTGCCCCAGAAAGGGGCCCGGCCGGTGACGCAGCTGCTCTTCGTGCCAATCCAATGCTGCGCTCCTGCGGTACCGGCAGTCTTCCCGCGAACCGCCTGAGAATTACCGCTAACAATTTCAGGCCCGCGCTCGGCCCCAGGATTCTTTACGGCCGGTGGGCCGTTAAGCCCCGCCCCTGAGGGTTCGTCCAATCCGGACCCAACCTTTAGTCCGCACCTTCACGTTCCTTGTTGCCACTTCCGATCCGCTCCCGGAAGTTGCGCTGGGGAGCCAAATTTGAAGCAAGCTGAGACGCCGAGGCACGGCCAAGAAGCTGAACCCGTCGCGTTTTCCTTGGCTACCTTGGCCACTTGAGACCAGTCATCATGCCTATCCGTGCTCTGTGTACCATTTGCTCTGACTTCTTCGATCACTCCCGCGACGTGGCCGCCATTCACTGCGGCCACACCTTCCACTTGCAGTGGTGAGTGACTGCTCTGTTGGAGCTGGGCGCTCGCCCCCGTACGGCTACAGGGCTGTGGGGTATCGGGCCTCCGGGCGACCCGACCCCGGAGCCCAGACTGGTGATGAGGACGGCATTAGACGGAGTCCCACGAGAGTTCCTGACCTGGGCAGAGGCGGGTTATGGCAGGCTTCCCGGAGGAGGTGACAGCTGAGCTGAGGTCGGGGGTACAGGATTGGTTTAATGAAGACAGTGTAGGGGTTTCTTTGATCGACTTGCAAAGAGATGTGATTTCAAAATTATCACCCCGGGCAGAAATGAACTTTCACCACATTAGCGAGCCCTTTTGTTTCTTCGAGACCTAGTAGACTACTGGCTACTCGATTTCTGGTGGTTTGTTTGATGGTTTGGAATGATTCTGTCCAGAGTCATCTCGTTGGTCAGACACTTCAGTGTATTCACTGACCTCAGCAAACCCAAGTTAACATCGAAGGGTAAGGAGGTGCTTTCTAATCAAGCCGTTCTGTTGAGTGTGCAGCTAGTGGGGAGATTCCTGTAGCAGCTGTGAACAGGCTGATTCCGACCTCCTTTTTTAATTGTGGTGAAATATGTGTAACATAAAATTAACCATTTTTTTTTTACTATACACTTTTATTATAGTAAAAAATATATAAGATAACATTTAACATTTTAACCTTTTAAAAACTTTTGCAAAAGTTTACTTAACAAAAAAGTTCAGTATGAAAATGTACACAACCTGATTTTTATATCATTGTAAAACAGGCCCTTTGGAAAGGGAACACGTGGAAACAATTGATTTCTTTGGTGAACACAGCCATTGTTTATACTTGTTCCAAAACTTTTAACATGCTATTTCTTCATATTACCACCATTTCAGTATTGTTCTGTTGCCCAGTAGTTGCCATCTCCACACATTCACCTATCACAAGATTCATAAAGGGATCAAATTCCTGCAATATTCCTTGGACATGTCTGCCACCATTTAATTTCAATGATAACTTCTTCATAAAATTTTAAAATTTATCAGAAGGGTGTTTACTCAGTGAGCTCAAAGATGCCTTCCTTACTGTGAATAATGTTACTATGAACATTGGTGTACAAGTATCTGTTCATGTTCCTGCTTTCATTTCTTTTGGGTTATCCCCAGAGGTGGAATAGCTGGATCATACAGTAATTCTATATTTAATTTTTTGGGAAGCTGCCTTACTGTTTTCCACATCAGCTGCACCATTTTACATCCCCAGCAACAATGCACAAGGGTTGCAGTTCCTCCACATCCTTGCCAAAACTTATTTTCTGTTTTGTTTTTTTTCCATAATAGCCATCCTAATAGGTGTCTTCTCTTTTATTGTGTGTGTTTAAAGCTATCAGATTCCCTCTTAGCACTGCTTTTGCTGTATTACACAGTTTGGGTATGTTTTCATTTTCATTAATCTCATGGTATTTTCTAATTTCCCTTGTGATTTCTTCTTTGACCCATTGGTTGTCTAAGAGTGTGTTGTTTAATTTCCACACATTTGTGAATTTTCCATTTTTCTTCTGTTATTGATTTTTAGTTTCATTCTATTTTGATCAGAAAAGATACTTCGTGTGATTTCAGCCTTTTAAAATTTAAGACTTGTTTTGTGGCCTAACATATGACCTTCCTAGAGAATGTTCCATGTGCACTTGAGAAAAATGTGCGTTCTGCTGTTGTTGGGGGGAGTATATGTCTGTTAGGTCTATTTGGTTTAAAGAGTTGTTCAAGTCCTCTATTTTCATATTGATTATCTGTATGATCTATCCATTATTGAAATTGTGGGGTACTGACATCTCCAACTTTTTAAATAATTTTTTTTAAACTTAATTTTTTTGGCTGCATCAGGTCTTCGTTGCTGCGTTCGGGCTTTCTCTAGTTGTGGTGAGCGGGGGGCTACTCTTCTTTGCGGTGCGGTGCACGGGCTTCAGTAGTTGTGGCTTGTGGGCTCTAGAGTGCGGGCTCAGTAGTTGTGGCACACGGGCTTTGTTGCTCTGCAGCATGTGGGATCTTCCCGGACCAGGGACTGAACCCTTGTCCCCTGCACTGGAAGGCGGATTCTTAACCATTGAGCCACCAGGGAAGTCCCAACACCTCCAACTTTTATTGGAGAACTTTTTGTTTCTCCCTTCAATTCTGTACAATTTTCTTCCATGTATATATTTCATATATATTTTGTTAGGGGCATATATGTTTATAATTGTTATGTCTTGTTGGATTGAACCTTTTATCAATATGTAAAGTCATTCTTTGTCTCTTGTAAACTTTTTTGACTTAAAGTCTATTTTGTCTGACAATAATATAGTTACCTCAATTCTCTTTTTGTTACTATTTTTATTCTGCTTGAGATTCATAGGTTTCTTTAACTTGTGGAACAATTTCTTTAATCAGTTCTGGGAAATTATCAGCCATTATCTCTTCATGTATTGCCTCTATTCCATTATCTCTTTTCTTTCTATGTTAGTTTTTCATTTCTTCTATAACATTACAACTAACTTAGTGGCTTAAGAAAACACAGATTTATTATTTTATAATTCCGGAGGTCAGAAGTCCAAAATGAGTCTTGCTTGGTTAAAATCAAGATGGAAGTGGGGCTGTGCCTTCTTTGGCTCATGGCCCATTTCTCCATCTTCAAAGTCAGCAGTGTTACATCTTCAGCTCTCTCTGTATGACTCCAATACTCCTGTTGCACTTACAGGGACCCTTGTGGTTACAAGGGTCACACCTGGATAATCTCTCCATCTCCTTAACTTAATCACATCTGCAAAATTACTCTTGTCATATAAGGTAACATATTCACAGGTTTCAGAAATTAGGACGTACACTTCTTGAGGGGAGGACATTATTCTACCTAACACTTTCTTTCTGGAATTCCTAGTTATATGTATGCTAGACCTTCTCACAGTATCTTTTATATCTCTTATCATTTCTCATATATTTTCTATCTTTCTAATTCTCGGTGTTTCCTCTGACCTATCTTTCAGTATACCAGTTCTTCAACTGTGTCTAAACTGCTATTAAACTCATCCATTGAATGCTTAATTTTGGCCATTTTTTCAGTTTTAGAGTTTCTGTTTGGTCCTTATTAAATTCTGATATGTCACCTTTTATTTTCGAATTCTCTGCTGGTATTTTCTTTCTATTTTTCTTTAATTTTTTTTTTTTTTTTTTGCGGTACACGAGCTTCTCACTGTTGTGGCCTCTCCCGTTACAGAGCACAGGCTCCGGACGCGCAGGCTCAGCGGCCATGGCTCACGGGCCCAGCCGCTCCGCAGCATGTGGGATCTTCCCGGACCGGGGCACAAACCCGCGTCCCCTGCATTGGCAGGCGGACTCTCAACCACTGTGCCACCAGGGAAGCCCTCTTTTTTTCTTTAATTAAAAAAAAGTTTTTATTTATTTATGGCTGCACTGGGTCTTCGTTGATGCGTGTGGGCTTTCTCTAGTTGTGGCGAGCGGGGGCTACTCTTTGTTGCGGTGCGCGGGCTTCTCATTGCAGTGGCTTCTCTTGTTGTGGAGCACTGGTTCTAGGCGCACGGGCCTCAGTAGTTGTGGCTCGCGGGCTCTAGAGCACAGGCTCAGTAGTTGTGGTGCACGAGCTTAGTTGCTCCGCAGCATGTGGGATCTTCCCGGACCAGGGATTGAACCCATGTTCCCTGCATTGGCAGGCGGATTCTTATCCACTGCACCACCAGGGAAGCCCTCTGCTGATATTTTCAATCTTAATTTTTATTTATTCAGCATAATGTGTTTATTATGGTCTGTGAAAATCCGAATGTCTTAAGTCTTTGTGGATATGTTCTGGTTTGCACTATGTAGTGCTGTTTTCCTGTATAACTGTTTACTTAAAAAAAAATTTATTGAAATACATTACAGGGACTTCCCTGGTGGTGCAGTGGTTAAGAATCTGCCTGCCAATGCAGGGGACATGGGTTCCATCCCTGGTCGGGGAAGATCCCACGTGCCGTGCCGGAGCCACTAAGCCTGTGCACCACAACTACTGAAACTGCACTCTGGAGCCCACAAGCCACAACTACTGAGCCCACATGCCACAACTACTGAAGCCCACACACGTATAGAGCCCATGCTCTGCAACAAGAGAAGCCACCACAATGAGAAGCCCGCACACTGCAATGAAGAGTAGCCCCCGCTCGCTGCAACTAGAGAAAGCCCACGTGCAGCAACAAAGACCCAATGCAGCCAAAAATAAATAAATAAATAAATAAATAAATAAATTTTTTTAAAAGAAATGTTACATAAAAGTACAAATATAGGGCTTCCCTGGTGGCGCAGTGGTTGAAAGTCCGCCTGCTGATGCAGGGGACACGGGTTCGTGCCCCGGTCCTGGAAGATCCCACATGCCATGGAGCAGCTGGGCCCGTGAGCCATGGCCTCTGGGCCTGCGCGTCCGGAGCCTGTGCTCCGCAACCGGAGAGGCCACAGCGGTGAGAGGCCTGCGTACAGCAAAAAAAAAAGAAAAGAAAAAGTACAAATATAGGGGCTTCCCTGGTGGTGCAGTGGTTAAGAATCTGCCTACCAATGCAGGGGACATGGGTTCAAGCCCTGGTCCAGGAAGATCCCACATGCCGCGGAGCACCTAAGCCTGTGCGCCACAACTACTGAGCCTGCGCTCCAGAGCCCGTGAGCCACAACTCCTGAAGCCCGGGCGTCTAGAGCCCGTGCTCTGCAACAAGAGGAGCCACCGCAATGAGAAGCCCACACACAGCAACAAAGACCCAACACAGCCAAAAATAAATCAATAAAATAAAACCTTTAAAAGTACAAATATAATAAGTGTGTAGCTTGCAGAATTTTCACAAACTGAACACGCCCTTGCAACGAGAATGCAGAACAAGAAACTAGACATCAGCACTCCAGAAACCTCCTCCTGAGACAGGCTGGGACCTGGGACACTGCCAGAGTGCTTGTACTTGCACCTAGACAAACCTCTCCTCAAGCAACAGAATACAGAGAAACTATAGGGGACTAAAAATAACTACATGTGTGCAGCAGCTGGGGCAAATTACAGACAAAAAATACAAAAAGGCCAAAACCCAGCTGTTGCTTCTGAAGTGCCTGGAGCAAAAGCAGGGTACTGTGCATGACCCCTGCACATAGCACCACCAAAGGGGTGGGCAGACTACCTAAGCCACCCCTCTGGCTCAATCTGCCGACCCACTCCCTACACTCACCTCATTTAAGGAACCAGCTCCCCCCCTGCCCCACAGTGAGCAAGCAAGGGCACCTGTTGCTTGTTTTTCTCCCTCAGGTACAGCACAAGTCCCAATAAAGCCTTGCCTGTATTTCTCCTCTGGCCTCTTATCAGTTTCTATTAATTAAAGAGTCCAACGACCCAGGTCGGTGCACTCTCAGTTACTCCCACCTGCCTGCCTTTTCCCCACACATAAGGATAGCCACTGTCTTGACTTCCAGCAACATAGATGAGTTTTGCCTACTTTTTTACTTTACGTAAATGGAGTTATACACAATATACCTTTTTTTGTATCTGGCTTCTCTTCCTCAATGTTATATTTATGTAATTCATCCATAATTTGTTCTTAGTTGTACACTCATTTGTTCTCATTGCTGTGTAGTATTCCATTGTGCGTTGTTAGCTTTGTATTATATGTATTTGAAAAATTATTTATAGAAAAAAAATTGAGGCCTAGGATTATGGTATCATCTTCCTGAAAAGATTCTGTTTCTCCCTGGTTCCTGGGGGTGGGATTGTTTACCAGTAGGAGACTACGTTTTGTTTTTGTTTTTGTTTTTGACTACACTGCACAGCTTGTGGGATCTTAGTTCCCCCACCAGGGATTGAACCTGGGCCCTTGGCAAAAGCACGGAGTCCTAACCCCTGGACCGCCAGGGAATTCCCTAGTAGGAGACTATTTTAATTAAAGTTTAAAGCAGATGGTGCATAGCTGGGCTGTGTTTTGCTTTTACTGCTACTTGCTTTTACCTCTAGTTTACTACTTACTTTGAAAGTGTACCCCTTTGGAGCCGTAGCTTACATGGGGGTATTATTACAACCCCCATCTCTGAGGGAGTCTGACTTTGACTTTTGCCCCCCGATGCCCTGCTCCAAGCCTAGAAAGTTGACAAAATTGCAGCTCAGGGGTAGGGAAATCTAAGCCAACAGGGCCCAAAAAAGGGCCAGTTGGTTGGAGTGCTTGTACCAGTCAGGCCTTGTGGGATATACCGTCATGGCCTGTGGTGCTGCCCTCCTGGGTAGGCAGGCATTGGGTCGAGGAGGAGCAGGACAGGCGCTGTTCTGGTTGGGGTGGCTACCTGGCCTGTATGTCTCGCTCCAAGCCATGGCTCACAAGTCTGTTTTTCTGTTTCTCATTCCAGCCTAATTCAGTGGTTCGAGACAGCACCAAGTCGGACCTGCCCGCAGTGCCGAATCCAGGTGAGGGTGGTAGGATGAAAACACCTCAGCTAAAGACAGCTCCTTGCCAGGGAGCCGGAATGAGGAAAGATCTCTGAAGCTAAGCAATGTCTTTGACCTATTTGGACCCTCGTGGTTTGAGGCTGGTTGAGCGTCACTTGTGCTTTTGAGCGGCTCGGGAGGCCTGCTTGTGCCCAAAGATAGCAGGCGGATGGACTCATTGCCTGGGCCAATCTTCACCTGGGTAGATTTGGTCTCCTTCCCTGCCTTTCCCCTGCAATGCCCAGCACCTAGAGTTGGGGTTTCTTTTGAGCAGTTACCACATGGGTCTGCAGTGACATGACTTCAGTAACCACCAAGCTAGTGGCACCAGCTTGGGCCACCTACAGGGTTACAGAGGTCCTCTCACTCCAAGGGATGTGCTGTGAAAGGTTAGTCCTGCGATGGGCTAGGCTGGATGTACACCCTTGTCCTTGCCCATGACCCAGCTTTGCAGTCATACTGTATCTTGTTCTTTCATTCAGGTCGGTAAAAGAACCGTTATCAATAAGCTCTTCTTTGACCTTGCCCAGGAGGAGGAGAGTGTCTTAGATGCAGAATTCTTAAAGGTACCCAGAATTTATCTCATTCTAATGAACCCCAAGCCCTCTGAGAGTTCACTTTCTGCTCCTACCCAGGGAGAGCACGTCGAGTATGGAGATGGAGTTCTGGAGGGAAGACTTGGTAGAGATTTCAAGGCAGAGGCTGAGAGAGCAGAGGACAAGTGATGATGCTACAGTCATTGGAGAAATACGCTGTTAGTGGGGAGGGGAGCCACTTGATTGTGAGCCCTCCCCTGGGGATTTCAGAGCAATTCTGACCATAGTTCAGAGTGCCTCTCCTGAAGTTCCCTCACCTTGCAAAGGGTCTACAACCATCTTTTCAGTCCTCAGCCAGGGAATATGTGTGAACCTACTGTTCACAAACCTGCCTGTGCTTCAAAACTGCCTGGGAAACTTGGTATATATCCAGGTGCCTGAGTCTTTCTCAGAGCAGG